ACACATACACATACACATACACATACACATACACATACACGCATATACACATATACACAGAAGAACGAACGCGAACGGGGTATTTTACCATATGTGGTCAAATCGCCCACATCCGATCGCAATAAATATTTGACGTTCTGACTTATCAGTTTTCATGGCATAACTTTGACTGAATCAATTTACAATGCACGCAATATTATTAAAGATTTTTAGAACTTCTACAATGACGATCCGGGGCAGTACAAACACATTGTGAGTTTTTCCAGTTCTATCATCTGTTTCATATTAACTAACGAAGAAAGCAGTGCCTATAGTGTTGGAATGCCCACCTTATACTTTTTCAAGGTAGGATCAGAGATCAATCTGGACAACTCTGGAAAGAAAGGATCCGACTCATAGAAGCAGGCCAGAAAAACTTCTACCTTCGAGTTGACCAACTTATGGCCTTTAAATCTAAGATTCGATAAATTTGATCGGATTTAGGTTTTCTACTTGTAATTCTACGTTTCTTTTGCGTTTTTCTTTGTTTATGCCACTTTGAAATATGAGAATTATGCTGTCATACAGCCCTTACTTATTGTTGTAAATGACATTCTTCGTATAACGAACTCTAATAATAAAACAAAGATAGTCATTCATGAAGGTGAAGATTGTCTTGAGTGTTGGAATACCTCCAATTAGGGAACTGCGACCTCGGTCATCAGAAAGCGAATCCTCTTCTTCACATACGCTTGTTGGCGAATCACTGCCATTTTGATGTTGCGCAGAAAGGAGAATGAGCATTTGAATAAATGGAGTAGACTGGGTCTCTAAGGCGGCATTGGCCGAATATCATATTGCTCGCTGTTAGAAATTAATTAGCTGAGACTTAAATGGTAGATTCAAGCTGTAGTGAAAGAGTCCATGAGAGGAGAGTTGATGTCGTTTGCTCCTGACCCCAAAAAAGCCATATGGTTGCACCACGTTTGGTGAACCTTTTCTCTCCACTCGGCTATAGAGGTGATTTTGCTTTTGCTCCAGAAGTGGGTCCATTGAACGCGAACACACATTAGCACAGGATTTATTTTTTTACTGTTCACAAACAATTTCCGTACTTGAGCAATATCTTTTCTAAAGGTAGATGTGACTGAAGTAAAGAAAAGGGGGCGTAGGTAGTACATCTTCATTCACTTTGAACTCCTTGGTTTAGAAGTAATACAACGTCAGGAAAGAAAAGGATGACCCTCAGCTGCATTATGAGGGTGACTGTACTAACATTATGTCAGTGGACAAAAGATATGTGAAAGGTGGTGGTTGTAGCGTTCCACAGTGCACTGTCATCCGAAGAAAAGATGTGTCACGTCGGCGACGTTTTGGAAAGGATCTTGTGCGATCCGATTAGCGTTGTATTCTTCCAGCAAGCCCCTCTAACCGCAGGTGTAGTAAGATAGTGTGTTGTTCACGATAAGCGGCAAAAAAAAGAGGAAGAAAATTCAGAGATCGGCGAAACGTGTGGAAAAATTTACCTTGCTAGGCATACGCACCTCTTTCACATTCGATTCATGACATACATTCTGTTGAATCCCGAGCTCCGACCATGCCTCCATATTGCTTCGCACATAAAGTGCCCAGAAGGTAATCATGCAGTTCTTAGATCACACTATGACCACTCATCATACCGTTCCTTCTGTACATAAGGCCCTGCTCGTACGAATATTTGTTCTGCAATTCGCTCCAATAAATGATCTTTGAACCGCTGAACAACGTTGACGATCAGGACCTCAGGGAAAGAAGAAGATGGGCTCTCTTCTCGCTGTACTTCAAGCTGTGCAGATGCAACTGGACCTCCAAGAAGTCGCTATGATCCAACTCATGAAAAAGATGTCCACCTATCTGCATGCACTTCCTGAAAGACATGGAGGACGAGCATGCAATCTTCAACTCGCTCCATCGTTGAGTCGAGAAGCTCATCTGTTATTCATATTCGAAGTATGGCTCAGAAGGTACCAAGTTTTATACGGCAACGAGTGCGACGATTCCGGAGAGAAGGATAAAACCCGACTGCTCGTTTCACGCTCAGACGAGAATTGCGTTCAGATGTAGACTGCAGCTAATGTTCCTAAACAGTCATCCGAACTCTCACAGAATCTAATTCTGGAAGTGCTGGAACTTCAATTTGTACCGGCGAAAACCTTATTTTGTCGTTGAGAAGAAGAGAGAAACCCACTGAGAGAGGAGAGGTAAAGCGGCAACATCATGCGTGACCGAAAAAGTTCCGAGGTTTACTGGGACAAAAAGAATTCGTTACAGCCAGAGCTAATAAAAGGCTCGGTCAAAGATACATGAACAAGGCAAAAACGTGAGCGATCGCTTCTTGTCCTTAAAAGAGGATTATTTCGGAAATAAAGCAAGTTGAGTTCGAGCTAACTAAAAAAAAGGATGTATCATGAACTTATCGAACAACCGTTCTGAAGGCTAGGTGGTGACTTCGCTAAGTGCGTAGTTAGAGTTTTTAAGTTGTATTGCAATATGACTCTGGAACAGAGAAGCATGCTCCCATCTGAAAAAGGTGGGTTCAAAGCTGCTCCAGAAATCAACCATTCGTACGAGGTTTGAGTCCTCGAAGACAGACGTGTTAGGTTTGCCAGTCGCACACGGTAAGCGTGACCTCTAGAGATGCTTATGGTAGGCGGGATTTCGAATAGGTCGCGCGATTCCGAAGAAGTTTCTCCAGTTGTCATCCTATAAAGCAGTCCATGGTCGAAAACAGTGCGCCTGGATTCTAATGAATCAGTTCTGAGTTTCCGAAGACGCTTCTCACACTTCTCTCGACGCGACCGAATGGGTGAGGAGTATTCGAATACAGGTCTAACCTAGAGGATGAAAAGCCTAAATAAGAGAACTGGTCGCACGTCCTGAACGATCTGAGCAGAAAATTAGTCCTCCAACTTGCATTTCATACTACACCATGAACGTCATTGTCAAAGCCAAGTTTTGACGTCATGAATAATACCTAGGTCCCCCACTTCATGAATTTACATGAGCTGATTCCCAGACATGGAGAATGCGACATTGGAATGGTCTTTCCCAACACACATAATTGCTGTTTTCGAGACGGAAATTTCAAGTTCCAAACTGTTTGACCATCTCTCAATGGTGTTTATGGCTGTTTGTAGGTTTTTGCAATCATTTATAGTATAAATTTCCGAGTC